GGGGGGAGATTGTCTTAGAATCAAATAAATTGTTCACTTTTTTTTGTGGAATGACCTATCATTTTATATAAACTTCTTGTTTCAATGTTTATTTCTACATTGTGCTTTCATCTTTTCTCATATCATTCATTAATACATGTATGATCAGGTCAACAGTGGCACTTACAGCACTCAAAATAATGACTATTAAGTTACTTACCAAAATGTTCTGCCAGCATCTGCCAAGGCCAGGGTATGTGTTGCAGGGCCTTCCTTACTTCTGCGCTGAGGTTTCAGCCATTTATTGCAGGAAAACAGCCACTCTCGATCAGCTTGAGGGTCTGACACAATGACAGAGTCTAAATGCCTAAAATTATGACAAAATAATTATTTGAAATTTGATATAACGCCTAATCATAGCTGAAGTGCCGAACATATTTGAGATAAATATTTGTGGTGTTTTTAAATTTAAAACTGTTTATTACACCCACTTCTCATGACCTACTCATCTCACTACAGGCTGGGGATTCTGCTTATGTCATGTTCTTACATGCTATTAATGTTACGTATTCGATGACACAATAATTTAACAAATACAAATATCATTAAATACTAGTTAGCAAGACACCAATTCTTTTTATCTTGCAAATGAACATACCATTTCCCTTTGACTCCATGTCCTTCTTGAGTTATCAGCACATGGGACAGTTCTCCAAGGGGAACTGAAGTTAAAAATTACACAAAACTTCATGTTCAAAACTGCCTTATATCAATATTATTTGTCAAAACACTCACATATTAATCTTAGTCAGATTCAGAAACATTCATCTGCAGTATTATATTGCATTACCACTCTTACATGAAGCATTTTTATTTTAATAACTTCCAAAGTTCAGATAAAATTATTACTCACCAGTACTGTAAACTAAAAACATGGTTTCCTTGCCCCTAGAGAAGACCTTCTGCTTGGTCCCATAGTCTTTCAGTAAATATTCTGGTGACTTTAAATGCTTGGAGCACAGCTCCATTTTGATATTTGCATTGGTTCCTGCATCTAAAATAAAAAACATAAATTATCTAATTAATTAATTAAATGAAAAAAAAAACAGTACTTAAGTCTTTCATAGTCATTCATTCAAAATGCTGGCAGATTAAACTCCATTTTTAATTATTATCCATAAAAATCTGACAAAAATTATCTATTTTTCACAAATCAAAATAAACTGTACAGTCATTTTATTGTCTAATTCTTATAAATCAAAATAACATTGTTCAACTGTCCTTACATAAATTTATGACAAATTAAATAAATAAATCAACAAACTACTGAATTCTACTTCATTCCATAAAAGACAATTATTGTCATAAACATGGTCTCAGCTAATGATAATATCTGTTATAAATAATAAATAATGATGATAAAAAGTTTCCTAATATATATCTTTAATCTGTCTTGCAAAAACTATATTTTTTCCATTAGGTTAAAAATCACTTACTTTTTTTAAGTCCAGTCTTTACTGTAATAATGTATGCATAGTGTCCATCGAGATTAGGGACAGCAATAATTTTTGACTGAAAAAAATGCATTTTCTTAAGTAAATGCAAGAAGAGGCTGCTGATATGTTATCATGATACTGGAATAAATAAATCTTTCAACCTTAATGAAGGCATCATAGCATATATATCAATTGAAACTTAAGTCTTCAAATAAAATATAACAAATACTTAGTAAGTAAAAAGTAAAAAAGAAAACCATTGGATGAGAAAGGGGTAGCTATTAATACCTTTGTCTTAATACGATGATGCACTATAGCAAAACACCCAACAAAGAATATAAAGATGAGAGCCAGAATATAATGAATGGTAAATCCAACTGACTCAAAGCTAGGTGGAGGAATGTGTATAAAGGTGTGGAGTAGCCTCCTATCAACAGCCATTCCCAGCTTGGGAGGACTGAGAACTAAAAGAAGGTAGAAAATAAAAGAAAATGAGGAAAAAGAATGAAGAAAGTGTTAGTCAGTAAGCTTAAAACAAAAAAAAGGAACATACCTGAAACAAATTTTGACAGTGGGCTTTGATGTATGAACTGAGCATCTCTGGACTGACAATAGAGCTAGTGAGCTTTAACTTCTAAGAGTCGCAAGAGTTACCTACTAGTATTATCATGTACAATTTCATTGAATCATGATGTCAATGATTTAGCTGCCTTACCTCTGGCTTGCAATGGTGGTATTGTGCTGTCATCTATTCTTGGTGGGAAGGTATTTGATGTTCTCACACTTCTTGCAATTCTCACAGAGGAGTAAGACTGAAGAAGTTTCTTCATAATATCAGCCCCATGCTGACCCAAGAAAGATCCAACCCCAGCACCAGAGGGTGAGGAAGTTCCTGTATCAAGAGTTAAATCATATATCATTACTAATGACATGAACAAAAAAAAAATTAAATAAATAAATAAATAAAAATAAAAACTGTGTTGTCAAATTGAATTTGCTTAAGTTACACCTACTAGTATAGGTAATTAGCAAATTAAAAGCAGGTATAATAGCAATGAAGTTAGGAGAAATTGTGACTAAACACAATGTCATTTGTACAGTTTTTAGACACAGGGCAACTCTCTCTCTCTCTTTCTCTCTCTCTCTCTCGCTCTCTCTCTCTCCAGTCCCCTCTCACCCCCCCTCCCTTGGAACGGTTAACACTCAAAACTTACAAAAACTGGGTAAAAAATTTAGCACCTCAAAGAGAGTGAATTTTCTTTCATTGCAAGCCATTAGTAAGATGTAAGCATAGGCTAAAAAACAAACAAACAAACAAACAAACAAACAATTAAACATTTTGCCCACACACACAAAACTGAATTTACGCATTTGTGATAAGCAACAATACCAAGACTAAAATCACCGAGATTTGGTGTCCAAAGTGCGTGGAGGCAGTTCTTATGGACGTATTTCCGTTTTATATAAAATGAAAGTCACATGGCTAGCAAAAGAGCTGTGAGTTAGTCAAATGATTAGATTTTGAAAATTCAAAAGTTACCTTCTTGGACTGTAATCGCCAAAACCAAAAATGTCAACAAACAGTTGACAACGGTCCGGCTCATCATCTTCATCGCTTTGCTGTATTAAATCCGAAATTCCAGTGTTCCACCGAACATCTTTAAACGATCTGTGTTTTAAAAGCAACAATTTGCACTGAAATTAATGTAATAAACTATCAATAAACTCAGTAAAACTCGAATCAATCGCAGAGTAGTTATCTCGACTGCCGTCGTAACTTTATCGTCGAGACGTCTGCTCTTTTATGACGTCAAAATACATATGGCGAAATCGAGGCTAGTTGTGTCTGGATGTGATGATAAACCCTCTTTTTCACCAGAAAAGAATATTTTCCTTCAAATTAAGAGATTTGGATAATTTCATCCAAGTAAACTGACCGTTTGCCAAAATCAGACATATAAATAATTACAATTTATCCACTTATATCACATTTACTGTTGTGGATGCTGTCATACACAAGTGCCATCTAGCGGCTAAAATGGGAAACATTTATTATTATTATTATTATTATTATTATTATTATTATTATTATTATTATTACTTTTTGATATTTATTTATTTATATTTATTTATTCATGTCTGATATACACGCTTTTGAGAGATATATTCAATCAATTCAGGGCGAAATTTCCCCTCAACCCTTTATTCAAGATCATCAATAGGGCCTATCCAAATTGCACAAGTAGGAGCTACACTTGGGTTATATTAATTACATGAAAGGCCATGAAATGAGTCGAGTGCACAAGCAAGCGACTCCGTTAGAATTAATTTACAAGTTTGGAGGTTATGTTTGTGAACTGAACACTAGGATGTACAAATCGGTGTACGATTTTAGGGGCGGATGTACGGTTTCAGGGGCGGATCCAGGATTTTTTGAAGGGTGGGGGGTGGGGTTCAGAGGGCCCCAAACATCTATTTCAGAGGGCGAACAGTGTCATTTGGTCCGGTTTAGATCTGTGTTTCAGCTGGTCAAAATTCTAAATTCAAGAGGGAAGTATTAGTGAGATTTTTGTCAGAAATCGAAGAGGGGGGGTCAGAACCCCCCCCCCCCCCCGACCCCCCACCCCAAAATCCGCCACTGCGTCAGTGGTGGAAATTAAACTCTTTATCTCAGTCGTCAACGTAGGCCTACTTTATACGGTAGCATTGATAATTATCTAAATGCATAAAGCGGAGGGGGTGTGAAGATGACCCGATATATCGTTCTTAGTTTATCATTTCCCGGACTTTATCGATGTTAAGTGTGATTTTCTTTTCAGAGGTCGAGAGGGGAGCCCGGGGCCAGACAGCCTCAGTGATCTGGCCCATGTCTGGCCCAGATCTGGCAACGTCTGGCAATGTCTGGCAAAAGGTATGGCCCACGTATGGCTTGCCACATGTGGGCCAGATGTGGCAATGTTTGGGCCAGATCTGGCCCAGACATTGCCACATCTGGCCCAGTCCACATTTGCTCATATGGCCAGATGTCGGCCCAGATCTGGCAATATCTGGCAAATGTATGGCATGCCAGATGTGGGCCAGATGTGGGCNGCAAATGCTGGGTGAAAGTTGCAGTACAGCCATTACACTGTACAACATAGGTACTAAAATGATAGAGATTGGTAATACAGACGGTGCAGTGGATGTCCTCAGGAGAGCTCTGGCTATAGAGGAGAAGATGCTAGGAGAATACCACGAAAGCACAGCAGCCACAATACATGAATTAGCTCGTGCCATATCTGCACAGGGAAACCACGCAGAGGCTCTTAGTACATTTCAAAGATCTTTACGTATAAGGGAACAGGCCCTGGGGGAAAGCCAGAGTACAGCCGCGACATTACAGTGCATGGGTCAAGAAATGATAGTGCTGGGCAGTGCAGACGGTGCATTGGATGTCCTGAGGAGAGCTCTGACCATGAGTGAAAAGATACTAGGAGAAATGCACGTGCAGACAGCAACCACATTAGATTATATGGCATGTGCCCTATCTGTTCAGGGAAACCACGCAGAGGCTCTTAGTACATTTCAAAGATCTTTACGTATAAGGGAACAGGCCCTGGGGGAAAGCCAGAGTACAGCCGCGACATTACAGTGCATGGGTCAAGAAATGATAGTGCTGGGCAGTGCAGACGGTGCATTGGATGTCCTGAGGAGAGCTCTGACCATGAGAGAAAAGTTTCTAGGAGAAATGCACGAGCAGACAGCAACCACATTAGAAGTTATGGCAGCTGCCCTATCTGCTCAGGGAAACCACGCAGAGGCTCTTAGTACTTTACAAAGAGCTCTACGTATAAAGGAGCAAGTGCTGGGTGAAAGTCGCGGTACAGCCGATACACTACACTACATAGGTACTGACATATTTAAAACGCTTTTGCGGATTCATGCCATGGATAAGTATGATGTGGTTGTCCTAAGGACGCTGGTGGTTTTGTGTGAGAAGATAAAGGGAGAATACCATGAGTTTACAGCAACCGCAATACATAAATTAGCTCGTGCCATATCTGCACAGGGAAATCACGCAGAGGCCCTCAGTACATACCAGAGAGCTCTACGTATAAAAGAACAAGTGGTGGGTGAAAGTCGTAGTACGGCCGAAACACTACACTGTATAGGCCAAGAATTGAGTATGCTTGATAATAAAGATGAAGCCACGATTGCTTTCATCAAGGCGATAGTAATGGGGATGAAAACTATTGGAATAATACCACAACCGGGCAGCAGCCACCAAACAATACCAAGGTAGTACACGTGGGTTCTATGTGAAACTTTGAGGTGTCTATGGGGTCATTTCATTTAAGTTATAAGGGTTATAAGGGTACCATTGCATTGTGTGAGAAGACTATGGCATCTAAGCATAGTAAAGCAGAAAATAGAACGATGTCCAGGTTCCTCATATGTGACAGTGAGAAAGCAAACAAAAAATCACACACAACAGGTGGGAAGCCAAAAAGACCACATTCCGAGGTGGCCAACTCAAGCTCTGATGAAATACAATTACTAATGAATTAACTATCTGAAATAAAAAGTGAAATTCAGGAAACCATTAAAAAAGATGATCTGGAAAAAACAGTCTCTAGTGTTATAAAGAAACTTCTTCAGAACTTCCAAGCAGAAATAAAACACATGTTGTCTGATTTAGAAGCAAAGTTTCAACAAAAAGTTGAGGAACTGAAAGTAGAGACTGAAAACCGCTCTGCAAATTTACAAGAGCAGGTTGATAGCCTCATGATGGAAAACAATAATTTGAAAGAGGTTCTAAGAGGTAAAGATAGGGAGATGAAAGATCTAAATGAAAGACTAAAACAAAATGAATACTCAACGAAAGAAGCCGCTCGCCTTAGTAATCATAATGAACAATACTCCAGAAAAACAAACATACGGGTGATCAATTTGCCAGAACAGAAGGACGAAAATCTCCGTGTGGTGTTTACCAACTTGCTAAAAAAGGAGTTGAAGCTTGAAATCCCTACCACGGACATCACAGCGATCCACCGTATACCAGGCAAACAGGGGCAGGTGAAACCAGTGATCGTAAAACTAAAAAACACAGAGGTTAAAAAAACAATTCTGAGGAAAAAGAAAGAACTCCAGTCTGGTGTGCGCATGTTTGACGATATAACCTTGAAAAACTTGACTCTCCTAAACAAGCTCAAACAGTATGAGGAGGTAGAAAGTGCCTGGTTTTTTAATTGTAACATTTTCTGTCAACTGAAAAATGGAAATGGTCGCAGGATGAAAATTGACATTTGTGATAACTTGGACGAAAAACTTAAACTAAGGAAAACTTAAAGAACCAATTAAAAAATGTGAACAATAACTCATAAGCAAACTGCTTAGCCCGATTATCATGAGTGACTGCATATAAACATATGTTTAGAATTATTATTATTATCATCTGTCTAACTTACTTCTATTATTAATGTTTTTAAGGTATTTATTCAGTCTTCTTTACTAAGATTCCTCGACTCCGGAGAAAGTGTTCAGTGGTATGTACAGTTTAACTCTTCATTCACACTACTGAGACGAGGTGAGTCAAGCTGTGTTATAAATTTTATAGAAAATATTTCTCTTAGGTTACAAGCAGCTTAAATGGCATTGATTTTACTGAAAAAAGTGTTTCATTTGTATTATTCACTTTCATGTAGGATCTGTGTAGATTTATATATTCTATAATGAATAATGTGAACATACTGCATATTTGAACATCTGTCAGTTAAATAATTTCACTTATGTGGTTTACATATTCGTGGTGTGCGTGGGCTCTTGTATGTGTAGGAGTGCATGTTTTAAGTGAGTTGTATGAATGGTATGTCAATTCTGGTAGAATGAGTACAAGTGATCTACCGTATACGTGGGTGGATGGAAGTGAATTTGATAATGCATTATATAGTATAACTGATATATATGTAGTTAAGTTATCCCTATTAGTTTGCAACAACGAAAGACGTAGATTTGATACGTCAGTACGAATTGCTATACCTATACTTAGAATATGTCTGTGCGATGTAAATTTATTTTCTGCCGTATATACCGGGGTACATATGCGGCAGAAACCTGCGAGATATACACAAACCAAATCAAATATTAAAATATGCTCAGTAAATTGTAGGGGCCTTGGTGACCGAAATAAGCGGTTAGATGTGTTCAATTTCTTGCGGAAGAAATCCTTTTCCACTGTCTGCAAGATACTCATAGTACATTATCTATGGAAACATATATAAGAGCTGAATGGGGTTTTAAATGCTTTTTCAGTCATGGAACCTCTAACTCAAGAGGAGTTGCAATACTGGTTAACAATAACTTTGAATATAAAATTAAAGAGGTTGAGAAAGACACTAGCGGAAACTTTATTGCTCTTAGTATGACAGTAGATGAAAAAGACATTTCACTCATAAATCTGTATGGTCCCAATAATGATTCACCTGAATTTTTCTTAAAAATACACGAGATAATAATGAAATTTGGAAATCAGGATCATATTATTTGTGGGGACTTTAACTTAGTATTAAACCAAGAGAAGGACACGTATAACTATAAACATAAAAATAACCCCAAGGCCTCTAATCAGCTTTATACCTTAATGGACTTGCATAACTGGCATGATATATGGAGGGAAATGCATGAGGAAGTTAGACAGTATACATGGCGGCAGCCTACGCCTTTCAAACAGGCAATGTTAGATTATTTTATTGTTTCCACAACCATTACAAACTTTATCGAAGATAGTCAGATTATTCCAGGTTATAAGAGCGACCACTCCATTATTACTCTGGACTTACAGTTAAATAGAAAAATTAAACACGGAAAAGGTTTTTGGAAATTCAATAACTCCCACTTATATGAAAGTGAGAATGCCGATATGGTAAAGCAGATAATCAATGAAACTATCTTAGAGTATGCAGCAGCGCCCTATAATAGAGATAACATACTGAATATTGACGGGCATTCTTTACAGTTAACTATAAGCGATGGGCTATTACTCGAAACTCTTTTAATGAAAATTAGGGGGAAAACGATTGCTTTTGGTGCTAGGATAAAAAAAGAAAACAGAGTCTGAGGAAAAACAAGTGGAAAACACTATAAACGACCTAGAGAATGATCTTAAAAATGAGGCCGAATTAGACAAAAAAGAAGAAATTCTTGAAATGATAAATAAGGAAAAGATGAAACTGGAAAATATAAGAAAAATAAAAGTTAAAGGTATAATTATTAGATCAAAAGAAAGATGGATCGAATACGGAGAAAAACCATCAAAATATTTTTTGGCACTGGAAAATCGCAATTTTACAAATAAGTCAATAACTAAACTGGTAACAGATAACGGAAATATTCTTACTGAACAAAATGATATTCTCAAAGAAACCGCACGCTTTTACGAAAATTTATTTAAGAAACAAAATCACGAATCAGTAGACATAAAAACTCGATTGGAAAATATTGAAACTCCAAAATTGACCGAAGCCGAAGCATCCTCACTCGAAGGAGAGATAAGCTACACTGAACTCTATACAGTATTAAGACAAACGAAAAATGAAAAGAGCCCAGGTACCGATGGGTTTACTTACGAATTTTTCAAATTCTTTTGGAAAGAACTAAATAGTTTTTTAATAAGATGTATAAACGAGGCATACGAAAAAGACGAACTACCTATAACTCTTACCCGGGGTATAATCGTCCTTCTACCAAAACATAATAAGCCCACCAAAAAACCTAAGACCGATATCACTACTTAATGTTGTGTATAAACTCGCCTCGGCATGTATAACGAATCGAATAAAGAAAGTATTACCATTATTAATAAATGAAGACCNTGAGAATACACGGACCATTTTCGATTTAATTGAATACTGTGACGCACATGAAATACCAGGTCTGTTGATGCAAATCGATTTTGCTAAGGCTTTCGATTCAATCGACTGGGGTTTTATCGAAAAAACCTTTGAATTCTTTGGCTTTGGAGAATCTATCATAAAATGGATAAAACTCTTCCTTAAAGACTCCTCTTCGTGTGTCTTGGTTAATGGTTTTGCCTCTTCTTTCTTCAATCTTTCTCGGGGTTGCCGTCAGGGGGATCCCATCTCCCCTTACCTTTTCATTCTTTGTGCTGAGATACTAAGTATCATGTTAAAAATGAAATAGACATAAAAGGCATTACAATACATAATCAAACTTTTCTCATCTCCCAGTATGCTGATGACACGACTATTGTGTTGGATGGGACTGAAAAAAGTTTAAGAAATACCCTAAAGGTTCTAAATGAATTCTCACAATTTTCTGGACTACAAATGAACAATCAAAAAACTAAATTTAAACTGGTTCGGAAGCAAGAAAGATTCACAAGAGATCATGTGCAAAGAGCTGAACCTCGATTGGAATGAACGTTTTTTCAGAATCCTTGGAATAGATTTCTCAGTAAATCTACATGAAATGATTGAGAAAAACTATAGGGAGAAACTCGAAGATATGGAAAGAATTATGAAACAATGGACTCACCGATCGCTAACAGTTTTGGGGAGAAATGTAATTTTTAAATCATTGATCCTTCCAAAAATGACTCATTTATTTTCGACATTGCCAATACCAAACAAATATGTAGACAAAATACAAAAAATGTGCTTTAATTTCATATGGAATGGAAAAATTGAAAGAGTAAAACGAGATATAATGACACAGTCGTACTCAAATGGTGGTATAAAAGTCCCCGATATTAGAAACTATATTGATTCCCTAAAAATTTCATGGCTCAGGAGAATCATGCACAAAAATTCAAAATGGTCTTTCTTTTTCCTTAGTCTGATCCCGGGAAGTAAGGGTGTACACTGGTCTGAAATGGGAATATCTGAAATGCAAAAATTAAGAACTGATCAAAAAATGCTTTTTGGAATCAGGTCATTGATGCATGGTGCAGACTGTTAAACAATAAATTTATTGATACAAAAGAATTTTTTTTAAAAGAATGTTTATGGTTAAATGATAAAATACTGATAAAAAACAATCCTATTCTTATAAGAACCTGTAATAAAATAGGTATAAGAAACGTAAATGACTTGATCGATACAGAGGGAAATTACCTCACATACGAACAGTTCAAGGAAAGGCACGGGAATATAATAAACTATGTTACATTCACAAGTATACTATGCGCAGTAAAAAAATTTCAAAAACAAATGAATATAGATAATTTACAAGTAAAAATTGAGCTCCCTATAATTTCAACCCAACTTAAATGGTTACTTAAATTTACAAAAGGAGGGAAACCTTTTTACAATATTTTGAACTCAAACGAAATGAAAAAGACTAATGCAATGTCAAAATGGGAACTCTTTTTTAAAGAACCTCTCACAGCTGAAGAGTGGAAAATCTTGAATAACATTCCTTTCCAATGTACTTTAGATACTAAACTGCGCTGGTTTCAATTTAGAGTATCAAAAAGAATTTTAGCTACAAATAATTTTTTACGAAAAATTGGGATAAAAGACGCAGAGACCTGCTCCTTCTGTAATGAACATCCTGAAACTCTTCAACATTTATTTATTGAGTGCAAAGTAATTGCTCCCCTTTGGGCACAAATACAAGACTGGATCCATTTAAAGACTGGACAAGTATTACAATTAACAGCATCTGATATAATTCTAGGAATTCCAAATTTGAAGTGCAATGCGCTCAACAGTTTACTGATAATAACAAAATTTATTATATATAAATTTAAAATGAAAAACATTACCCCAAACATAGAAAATATTAAAATAGAATGGAGACAGGCCTACATCGTAGAGAGAAATATAAGTCTAAGAAACATGACAATAGATAAATTTAATGAAAAATGGAAAAAGCTGCAATCTCTCTTCCTGGACTGATATCTTCTGTCGTATGTTCCCATGCCGATATTTGATAGTAAAACACATATTAGTTTTTATCTGAACTAGATCATAGTATTAATTAGTTATTATCAAGTATTTTATTATTAGATTATATATCATTGTTGACAAATATTTTAAATGATACAATACCTATATATATATATTGCAAATGACAGTGTCTCTTTGTGAGTGAGTAAGTGAGAGAGTGAGTGAGAGTGATTTTTATTTAGTTATTTATCAATTTTGTATTTTTTGTTGAGATATGCAATTAAAAAAAAGTTATGAGCGATTGAGGCGAAACTATAGAAGGGAATGTCGCCTTAGAAAATAATACACAACTTCCCGGTGCGTGGTACGCAAAATATTCGCACTGGAAATTGGACTAGATTTGCACCAGTTGTCAATATGCTGCAATTCAGCAGAATTTGAAAATCTTTCTGGTAGACTTAAGTCGCTCTCGCAGTTAACTAGCCAGTCTGCCATTTGACATATCTCTGACCCTTCTCTCATCACAATTCCACAAAACTTAACTTGATTTTACGCCAATTCGCAAGACAGGAATAGGTGGAATAGTTCCAAAAGTGCGATGGAATCATTTTAGGAGCAAAGTGGCCGTAAATTGTCACCGCATTATCAAATATGTGTTCTTTACCTTTAGTTTAGCTATTTTACAATTGGATGCTTACATATATACATAAACATATATGTTATGAAACATTTCATTCTTATTAAACTACAAGTCCTAGGGCTGCAGCTGTATTGATGACATTCATTTATAACACGTTATACTTACCTAGCTAGGCACCATATGCCACACTGTTTGATTACTTTTGATGGCAAGATGGAAAAGAATGAAATATTATTTGATTTCATTTTTAATAAATCAGTAAAATAAAATAGGTTTGTTTTGTCAATTTTATTGAATCTGATAACTGTCACGTCCATACCACGTGTTTTGATTCACGTGGCATCTTAAAAGACAACATCTTTATTTATTGAAATTTGGACTCAGGCTGTATTGAAAATTTACAATAAGAAGTTACAAATAGTTTTTATCATTCCCCTCCGCTTTTGTAAAAATCAAGTATGCAAAGCATGAAATACAAAAAGAATAAAATAAGGACATTTAAAGTGTTGATACATTTTTGCTTTTTTAATATGTTTCTAAAGTTGAAGATCTTGTCAACGACACAATTATTTTTCAATATCTATGAATTTTATTAAAACCACGGACAACACCTGGACGGAAAATACTGTAAAACTACTATGATTGTGGGTATTTTCTGACCCAAATCAACTCGCGTGGATGACAGAAAATGACAGCAATAATAAAACCACTTCAAAACTCAATAACGAATTGTTGTTTACATAAGCGTTAGACACCAAAGTTCATGAGCAATTACTGTGGTGGATTTAAGGTGTCGGGGAGGGGGGTCCTGATCCCCCTCCTGCTTCGATTTCTGATAAAAAACATACCAATATTACCCTGTTGAAATTAGAATTTTGACTAGCTGAATCATAGGTCTAAACCGTATCAGTTGGCACCATACGCCCTCTAAAATGCCAATTTTTTGTCGGGGCCCTTCAGCTTTATTGGCAATCTTTGCGGACGAACGTGATACATTTACATATACAATTCTCTTTCTACTGAACAAATTTTTATTCAATTGATCACGCTGGATTAAAAAACTCTCCCGTCCAAAACCTCTTTAATCATGTGCACAGCCACAGTCAAACATTTGAGGATAACATTGAAAAAAGAAAATGTGAGCTTTTAAGTTTACAGTCTCGAAATTGGTTACCAAAGTTGCAAAGAGCTCTACGTATTTGGGAGAAGATATGTGGAGAGAGTCAACCAACAGCCAGTACTCTGCGCGGCATAGGCCATGAAATGCTACAGATGGGCAAGGCAGACGATGCTGTGGATGTCTTCAGCAGAACTCTGTCTATGCAGGATAAGATGCTGAGAGAATACCACGAACCGGCAGCAGTCACAATGCATGAATTAGCTCGTGCCATATTAGTATATGGCAACCATGAAGAGACCTTTAGAATGCACCAAAGAGTGGTACGTATACTGGAACAAGTGCTGTGTAAAAGTTGTAGTATGGCCAATACACTAAATGACACGTGGGAATATACAGACTTTTGTCTGCCAGTTTTACTTTCAGATGGATACTCTGTTTTTGCTTATACTTGTGATGAACCTTACCTATAGAAGAGAATGAACAGCCATTTTTAATAACAAGACAGTGGAAAGGAGTACATATTTTTGTTAGATTTATTGTCTTATAACTGCCACGCCCATACTACGTGTTGAGTCACGTGACATTATGACAACAGCAGGAATGCATGTACCATTTCCTGTACATAACAATATACTGTATACAATATACATATACAATATTACCATATACAAGTTGACATTCAGAGTAAACGGACGGATTGGAGTAGTCTATTACCTTCACTACTCACAATTTTTGATCAACACTGAAAACATTTTATTTGGACTTATAAAAGAATAAATAATAATAATAATAAAAAGAAATACAGCACAGTTTATAATCCTACATTTTACTGTTGTGAGCACTGAACATGCAACAACTGAAAGGATAAATGATCTGACACAAGAAGAGTTTGAAATATTTGCGACGAGTAATAATACATGTATACTTGTAATTGTTTTAATCTTAAAATTTGTACCACCAATGTAAAACCATGGGACGGAATTATCTTTAACGTTTTTGTAAACCATCTGATATATAAATACACATATTTCAATAATCATCTGCTTATACTGTTAGGTGGACGGATATTTACTGAATATATTTGTGTTGGGGCAAACTTGTACATATTTTGTCCTTCCGAGATGCAAATTACAGTAAACATTTACCATGGTTCAGTTTCACAGTCTTAATCAAAGTACCAAAACATATAATATACTGTGACCAAAGATACATGGAAATCAGTAGTTGTCTATTAGAATGATGTAAACTGCTGTGCATGGTTTGTAAATAATGGAATTAAATAAATATAAATACAATTTTAAAAAATCAAGTTAAACTTTTGGTCTGTTTTGTTATAAAGTACAAAATAATAATAATAATTTAATAAAAATGAAATAAAGAAATAATAATAAACAAAAAGCAGCTACTATTAAGATAACTACAGGGGTACAGGCATTAGGCTTGACCTGCTTAAAACCACTATTACTGGTCTTAAGTATTTTTGTGAAAATGGCCCTATCTTTGGGTCAACTTTACACCCAGGTCAACTTTGAATAAGTATGCCTATAGAAAATCTAATTCACCTTTGCCCTTTCTATAGATAGGCCATTTATAAATAACATGAAAAATGGATATAACACTAAAACTTGATAAAATATTGTATTTTAAACAAATATATTACAGGTATACCAGTACAAGTATATGTATAGTATGTTTGTATATTCACTCTGTACGAGTCACAAAAACCACTTATTACAATATTGTCAAAAAAATCAGATAAGAATAAAACATGGGTTCAATTAAACTATGTACATAAATATAAATAACCATGTATCAACTGTAATATATAAAGGCATTCCTTTGGCAAGCTCTGCCTTTATCAGATGAATTAAGTGCAAGAGAAAAACTAAAATTAAACTACAACAAGTAGATACATAAATATCCAATCATATAAACCATTAGATAATTAAAAACTCTGACAATGTTTTCTAGCAAGCATTCACATGTATATTGGAACTGAAGGTAAACACACCATATGTTAGTGCTATTGGAGGACTGAGCATAACCAAAAAGCCAGGTGGCCCTGAAAAGGGCGAGCCAGGACCAAGCACATGCTGGAATCTTTTGCATAAGATTGCAACATTGGAAGTATTATGCTATATTCACTTTAGCTGAATGTACAAGTTTTGACATCATTAGGCAGATATTCAAGATGTATTTTAACTCTTATTGTCTGGGATTAGTATGTTATATACACCTAGCTTTGCACAAGAGATCTATCTTGGAAAACCATTCGTGTTGAATAGTGGCATGATTCATGGTTGTTTTCTTTGATGGGGATGATGCTGGAGTCATTGTGCCACATTATCATACAACTTACAGGTTCCTCTATTATCCTCAAGATATCATTTACTAGTACTAGCCCTACATGAAGCAATATGAAAAAGTTAATAAACTACAGTTGAAGTCTGCACTAGGAAAACCAACCCAACTTTCACCCCCCCCCCCCCTCCTATTTCTCACCCCCAGTGTCCAATTATGAACTCTTCAAGCTGGATCTGTGGGGGTGGGGTGGGTGCAGAGCAGGGTACCCCAGCACCTTACTCCATAATATCACCCCCTCCAAAAAAAGTATAATTTCAATTTTTTCATCCCAATGCCTACATATTATAGTAAAATTGTCCTCATGTACTTTATATATTCATATTATTATTTTGTCCACGACTCTCCATCTAACAAAAACCCTGTACCTGCAAGTCATCTTCACTAAGTTATGGAAGAAATGTCCACAATAAAACCAAACAGTAGGTCAGATAAAGAAGCATGCGCAAGGTGCTCTATATACAGAATACACATATTGCAAACCTACAGAGGATCACCACTGGTGAAATGGGGAACAGCATGGAAAAATGTCAACTTGGTCAGATTTTTGGTGCTCTTTAATGCAAATTTTCTTTGTCTATAGTTCATCATTAAAATGTATAACCTCATTGACTGAATATATAATTCGCAGATTGAACGTCTAGCAGATTGTATAGCCTCTCTGAAATTTTACAATGTCATCAACTGAGAATTCCATAACAAATACAAAGATTAGTTCGAGCCAATGACTGAGCTGCCAATGTATCCCAGCATTCCCCAAGTCTCCAGTGAGAACCCTCTCATTATTGAGCAAGTTCTCAGGTAAAGGAACGTACGTAAACCAAGTTCTACGTACTACAATATTAACTAAAACAAATGCATATTTACACGCACACTTACTGTGTGACTAAGCTCTAAACTCCTAAGGTTAAAAGGACTAAGTCTACATATTTTTAAATCAAAGAGAGATAAACTACAAGTCTGAAGATTAAACTATAAAATTCTAAGACAATGACAGGGCAAGAGACTTGAGTTCAAAGCCAAAGAGAGTTTTTCTATACAAGACTGTGGTAATCTGGATTGCAGGAGCAGTTAAAAGTTTATATGATTGTCCACATCAAATACCCAAGTTGATTTACATCATTGATTTTTCATCCTGATTATCTTTATGCATAACATTGCCTTTGCTAAAAATATGTTGCTAAATATAATTCATTTATATTCCTTATATATTGCTAAATGGTCATATCCTTCAAAGAGAATAATCGGTAGCATATGAATATTCAAATATAATTCTCTCAATATACATACAGTGTACATATACATATTTGTAATATTTTGAAATCTGACTTAGCTTATTGTCTATTGGTCATGTAGCTGCCATATACCTGGGAATGGGATTTGCACAGAAATTAATTTTCAAATGCAAAGTTTTTCTCGTGTTGGTTCTGTTTTTTAGAGACCAACTATATTTGGAATTAAAGCTGTTGCCAGCTCATTATAATTTTTTCCTGAATAGAAAAATGCGGAGATAAAAAGGAAGACTACCCAATAAGGAAATATTTAGTATTAATGATATTTTATCATATCTTTTTCTCTGTTCTTTTCAACTCTGAAAAGTGCTATTTATATCTTATTTGGATGAGAAATGTGGGAAAGGTTATAAAATTGATTTTTGTTTTTGTCTACAATGCAGTATTCTTTTTTAAATGTGTGGGCATATTTCTTGGATCTGAAAAATATGTCATGGATTTCCTTTTGCTTGCTCTCTTGCAACTGTGTTAGCTGTGACAAACAATGGCTTTCCCATACTTAACTTCCTGTCATAAAGTGTTTCAAGTTCTACAACTAGGATCATTCTAAAAACAGATATGATTGGACGGTTTGTTATCACATGGTGAGAACCACACCAGTAGAAAATTAGCCCTTTGCCCTGAATTACCTATTCAGGCTTAAAGAAATTGCAATGCAGAATTATTCTACATGGTACACCACAAGTGTTCACAATCATGGAAATTTAGAAGAAAAGTAAACACCGACATTTACACCAACACCATCAACAACAAATAAATATCACAGTAATATGATGATATCCAGCATGTAGTTACTAAACTGGACACTGACCAGTCAAAACAACTGACCACTTGACTGCCTGCAGTTAATTATAACACAAGAAATGTGCCTGCATGCTCAAACCCCCAGGGGCAGCACAGGTGGTCCTAAAAAGGACATGCTCATATCATCCAAAGCTATTTGTCCTAGCTTTTTATTGGAGGTAAAAATTGAGCAGAGTCTCCCCCCTCCTCCTCTCCCTCTTCAAAGTCACTTGTTCCTTCATCTTTTTTGCCCACATCACTGTCTTTTATAAGGGTCTTTTCCCGTAATATTGTCTTTTCTTTCTCTTTTAAACTTGTTTTTTCTCTTATTAATGTCTTCTCTTTTTCTTTAAGTGACTTTTCCTTGTCTTTCACCATTGTCTTTTCTTTTTCTTTCATTGCTGCCTTATTTTCACTGGATTGGTCCTGTCCTGGGGTTTCCTGCTCTTCAGGGTCTGAAGCACCAATTGGTTGTAGGCGCTCTGACTTGGGTTTAGAGTCTTTTTTATGAGAAGATATCCAATCATCTGCTATTTTTGTTTTCTCTGGAGAAAGAATGAAACATTTTATGAGACAGAACGTCACTGCTTTTTCTTGCATGCATGCACACACACACAGTTTGTAAAATCATTTTGTCACAGGCTGACATTTCAGCCTTCTATGTATTGCATTTAACATTTATATACAAGATAAGAATGCATTACCCAAACTCTTGTTTAAATACAAAGGCGTATACATCCAGCCTATGAATTACAACATTTTTATGCTAAGAAAAAAAAAATCACCTTTGATGACCACCAATTTGTCAGGATCTGAGGCTTTCCTTCGTGAGCTTTCTTTGTAAAAAGTGCGTGACTTGTGAACAAGACCCTGCTGTATCCACTCATGAGCCACTGCCTCCTCTGGTGTCAAACGCTTGTTGGGGTCCCACCTGCGACAATTCAAAGATTAAAGTGATGTTTGTGGCCATATAATTAAATTATATTTCTATTAGTTTGCTTTACAAAGCTATAAAAAGAATAACTTTAATACAGTGCAGAATATAACAGTTACAAGAAAATAAATAAAAGAAAATTTGATTGATCATACTTTTCAAGCTACAGGGTATATATTCAAGGACTTAGGTGAAGCTTTTTATAATATCATAGGATAACATAGTACTGGTAGAACATAATTTTTATAATATCATAGGATAACATAGTACTGGTAGAACATAATTTTTATAATATCATAGGATAACATAGTACTGGTAGAACATAATGTTTATCTCAGTGTTAATATACAATATCATAATGATAATAAAACTCACACAGACAATGAAGAGAGGACACTTACTCTAAACACTTGGCAATGAAGTCCAGGAAAGTGGCATCATTACATTTGATGGACATGGCCAGGTCCTTGGTTCCCACTCTCCTCTTCTTTCCCTTGCTGTTAGTTATACACCGGGGATTACCTTTGGAATCTGGACACAAAGAGAAAATATGTGTCAGATGGGAAATTGTCTTTGCTGCCACGATAATTTATGGGACGTTAATGATACTAGCTAATAAACTACTACAGCACTGTCTATATTTGTTAAGTACCTTAACACGGCACACCAAAAATATTCAGCAATATTTCTAAATAAATATGTAAAAAAAGAAGAAAAAAAAAACATGAATTTGTTTTTCACAAGAAAAAAGAACAGTAAAATGACAACTATTTTGCAACAAAAATAATGAATAAACAAATCTTCCTTAAGCCATCCCACAATAACATTGCATCCCTTAATAACAACAACAACAACAACAACAACAACAACAACAATAATAATAATAATAAACACTGCTACCACTCACCGAAGAAGAGCCTCCTTCTTGTGGCCTGGTCCAGCACATAGTTTGGTGGAGGTCCTAAAAGTTCCATGATACATGCTAGCTGCTCCACTTCATTCTCTCCAGGAAAGAGAGGATAGCCAGTGTACAGCTCTGCCAGTATACAACCCAGGCTCCACATGTCTATAGGCATAGAGTAAGGCAGACCCAGGATTACCTCAGGTGATCTGTAGAACCGGCTCTGGATGTAGGTGTATACTAGAAATATGAGAAGAATAAATATATTAAGGTTGAAATAATTAAGGGAGACCCAGAATCAGTACAAAAATTCAACAATATAACAAGAAAATATCACCACAAAAAAAGTATCCCTTTATTCAGGATCATATTCCCAACAGTACCTCAAGTATTTCATTAAAAAAGCTACAAATTATGGTTCATCTACAATTGTGTTATGTTGTGTCAAAGCTCAACTGCTGCAATCCTCTCAGCTCACCTCTCTGATGCTCATAGCAACTTGAACCAAAGTCTATGACTTTTATTGAGCTCTGGCCTCTCTGCTTCAATAAAATATTTTCCTGAAACAAGTACAATCAAACCTTTTACTACTTTGAATTACAGTATTAAGTAAACATAAAAATAAAAGGAAAGTTAAAATAAAAGGAAAATCCATTTTTTTGACTGGATCGTCATTTTTATGCTTATTAACACATCATGCCAATTACAAACAAAAGTGGCTATTCCAACCAATAAATATTCTATATTTTATTTCTATTACAAATATCAGTAAAATAAAACAATGCAGATTACCATACAAGCTTTAACAAAAATTACATACACTATTTAAAACAAAAGGTATATGTATGTCGGCAATATAGCACCTATACTCACAGGCTTGAGGTCACAATGAATAATCTTTTCCTTGTAAAGCACCTTAAGACACTGTAGTAAAGAGAATGCAAACCGCCTGATGAGAGCTATACTGAAACCCTGGAAGTTGTTCTTCTTGATCAGCTCATAGAGATTCATGCTGAAAGAAGGGGACAGTACATGGTCACTTAGGGTCCAGAACTATCATGATCAATACAGCAATTTAAGACTAGTTAGCTGTAAAGGGTTCAAACAAACAAACAAACAAACAAATAAATAAATAAATAAATAATATTCAATAAATTAACATAGTTCTGTCCTTAATTATTCTCAATCTTTGAGGGTGGACATGACACTTATCATCAAATAAGCGACCACTCAAATATTTTTATATGAGCCCATTATCTAATTGACAGATCACCACTAACATAACATCCATACTAACTAAGCCCATTTCTGACCAATCCTAAAAATCCTATCAAATTCTTTCCATGATCTTTGGAAATATGCTAATAACTGAAAACAACCAACAAAGAAAAAAAAAAACTCTCTGGTGGAGAGAATGAAATTAATTCAAAGACAGAAGGAAGAGAGGCCTCACCCCATCAATTCAAATGTAATACAGAGGTGGTTTCTGAAGTAGAAGAACTCCCTCATGTGGATGATCTGGAACTGATTGTCCTTGTCTTTCCGCCGTAAATTTTCTAAAATTTTCACCTCCACCAGAGCCTGGTGGTGAAACCTGGAGAGTGAAGAGGGGGTAAAAATATAAAGACTTTTATAATTTATGATCACTTTTTTTATTATACAGATATTAAAATAAATAAATCAAATCAAATCATAAAGAATATTTATAAAATCATCAATTTCACTTTTTTCTAGTCTCTTGTTCTTTGTCACTGACAGCATAAAAGCTATTTGAATGTCTCAAAAAATAAAAGATAAACATTAAATGATATACAACTCTACCTCTTCTTGTTCCTGATTATTTTAATGGCTACTGTAGTATCAGTCTTGTGGTCATAACATTTGACAACCTGACCAAATGACCCCTTGCCTAAGATTTCTAACACTTCGTATCTATAGACTAAATGATCATGGAGAACCTGTAAGAATAAAAAAAAAATAAAACATTACACACTGACAAAAGGCAACATGGTAAGTGGTAAGAGTTATGAATGTGTATCATCAGTTTCTTTAGCCCTTTCTCCCACCTGACAGCACCACAAATATAGATAAATAAAATATATAAAGGTTCCCAATATCGTTAAGCCAAAATGAACTTTCATCATTATTTTAAATTCAAGCATGAATCAAAATAAATAAAAAAAGAAAAAGACAAAAAGAAACCAAGACACAAAATTTCAATCAGTATTACCAAAGATCACTGTGAAATCTAAACATATATCATACCTTAACATATGAGCCATTCTCGTCATCGTAATTATGGTTCTGTGCACTGCCATCAACACCCTCTACTTTTTTGGCATCTGGCCCCACAAACCATACTTCAGGATAATCGTGGATCTCCTGCTTTTCGTATGCTGTGAGCTTTGGGCCGTAAATTTTTAGCACCTCTATAAAATTAAAATGGAATCAAAGATAAGAAGAACATATATATATTTTGCTAAAAACGACACAACAAAATCCCCAATTTGTCTTAAATTCTGTAAAACTTATCTTTTGTCTTATATAATTCATAAGCTACCTAAAAAATTAAAAGGACACTAAAATTTGTTTGAAAAAATGAAGCAAAAATTACATTAAATTTTCTTTTAAGCTTTAAAAAAATGCTTCTAAAATGTTATAGAAAAAAAAAAAAAAAAAAGAAAAAAAAATACTACATAGGGATCAAGTCCACTGAAAACCTCTTCATCCCAAAAAAATACTCTTACCTTCTGGAGTCATAGGAATCCTATTCCCGTATGCATCACGCCGTATCCTATCCGGCTGCTGGTTCACCAGCGTCGGTTGCCGTGTCAACGCTCCATCGGTGGGTATCTGCGGCAGTATGCTACTGTTTTCATACTGCTGTTTGTGTGAGCTACGGGTGTCGGACTGACTCAGTGCTGGCAAGGTGGGCGCTACGGTGGCAACCAGTTTCTGCAACAGAACAATTGGATCAATTGCGTTGGGTGAGATTTGTCACAACTATCACAATCTGATTTCATTAGTTCTTGTTCCATCATCACTGACTAATATAGTAAGTAAACATCTGACAACAACTTTTATTCCCAAATAGCAGTCTGGGTAAAGGTGAAATGAATCTGCTGATTTTCTTTTTCTACTATCAGGTTGAAATAAATCATTAAGAGGTTAAAGTGTTATATCTAGTAGGAAATAGCCATTTATGAAAAAAAAAAAAAAAAAAAAATTTAAAATGGGCCTAAAATGATTGTCTGTCATTAGTATTAGAAAAATAAACTTAAAAAGGATTAAAATAATTTAATATGGATTCCAAAGAACAGAAATGATAAAATTTGACAAAATATTATTAAAAAAATAAAAAATAAAAAAAAAATAAAAACTTATACAAATCTCATTTAATAGCTTAAACCAATTCTCATCAGCCACTGCTATATACCAAGAGTCAGTGTATTCCTACTTACATCCTGATAGGCATGGCTCTTTCCACTGGAGGTCTTGCTAGACTTTGTGTTAGTAATGGTGAGCTGGGTGGGGTATCTTGACAGGCCATTTAACTTCTGGGACCTCTGGTGGTGAATATTGTTACTACCAGGACTCTGTAGGAGAGAAACATGTAGGAAAGAAATAAAATGCAGAAACATTTGAGTAATATTGTGGATGATACTCTTAAACAGATATAGGCTACATACATTATTGGTTTTATATTGAATTATTTTCTCCTCTGAATAAAAAAAAAAAAGCTGATGAGAAAAATCAGATGTCTTGCAGAAGTTCCTGGCAAAAATGTAAAATAACATAAACTCATGTACAGATGAAACTGGCTAAAGGGATGATAGTCACCTAGCAGTAAATAAAAATAAAAAGTGTATCCTCACAGTATTCAGCATACAAGTCACCTAGCAGCAAATAAAAACATACAAGTATCCTAGAAGCATTCAGAAATTAAAAAATCCTCACATATAGATTTTGTGTACTTATACATGTATTATTCATTCATGTACAATCCACAGAAGTAAATGACCACCTCTACGGTACATGGACTCATGGTATAAAGAAACACACAAATGTTAAAAAAAAAAAAAAAAAAAAAACCTGTACAATTCCATATATTAATAACATGCACTTGTGCATATTCTAAAGATGAAATTGATCACTTACATTTTAATCACTTCACTCACGGTAAATAAAAACATATACAGGTATCTGACAAACACAAAAAGCTCCTACACATACATGTACATAATGACACATACTTCTGGAATCTATTGCCCTGCCTTCTTGTGTTTTCCCAGGCTTTGTGTGCAACTTATTCTTTCTGTGGTAAGCTGCCTTAGATCTTTTGCAATGACTTTTTCTCTTTTTCTCCGGTTTTCCTTGGGACCTATACCCTCTCATCATCAGCATAAAAAACATCAACATTTTCAGATTTATGTACCCCTACGCTGTATATATACTCCAGTAATCTGTGTTATCTTGTCTCTCTCTGTTTCTCTCTCTCTCTTGCTCTCTGTCGAGCGTATGAAAGAAACTCACTCGCTTGCCTTTTTATAGCTCTCTGCCCACATGGATGACACCTCATCAAGCAGGAGAGTGAGAAAAAAATAAAAACAACAAAAAAACGAAAATGACTTGTGGTTTCCGGAAGTTGATGAGTAATTCATAACATTTCCTTGAGTCTACACACGCACCTGTACCTGTATCACTTTCAGCTACCTCAGAGATACGACAAGCTGGTCCAGAACATTCCAACCCAATTACCAGGATTTTCAGAATTACGGGGAGTGTTTGCAGTGATCCTTGGCACTTTACCCAGTAATATGCTGCACTCATCAGTTTTATGTTACTTCCCTTTGGGTCAAATGTGCCCTGAGTTTCCAGGCCCTGATTAACTCACCATTACTGGGAGAAATATATACTGAGAACTAGAGAGAGTCTCCAGTAAACTACAAAACTGGGAAGGTACCAGAGGAGACATAGGGGAAGAATTTAAAGGAAAACATTAAAAATCACAAAATAAAATGCCATATCAAAATAAAAAAATAAAAAGAACTGAATGTTTCAAAGTTCTGATTATACAGACATGAGCCTGTTAAAAAAAAAAAAAAAAAAAAAAAAAAAAAAAAACTCTGAACATTTGTCATGGGACCCAACACTCAGACCTGACGAATCTCGGAAGAAGCCATCAGAATTGAAAAGCTCATGAATTGAAAACCAAATGAACTTGTATGCTGTGAGAACAGATCAACTTAAGTAGATCTATGAAAACCTGGGTATCTCACCTGGCTGCCAGTCTTACTTACTTCCACATGTTAAAGATCCAGAGCCATGTTGTAATGTATTGACAGCCAGATAGATACAAATTGTATTCCACCTCCTTCCTTTGTGTATCCATGTTGCCATTATTGCTCCTAAGCAGGGAACTTACAACTAATACTGTTTTTACTGGAATGCATTTCATTTCAAGAGGAAATGTCTGTGGCACATCCTCTAAGAAACTTGTTACCAATTTTTATTTATTTATTCTAACAAATTCACTTCTTGGGGTTTTCCGTTCTTTATTTCACCTTCATCCCTTCTTTATAAAAAAATGTCATACTGATTTCAACAATTCAAAATCACTTACTCTAAGTTATGTTCTGTATATTCATTGATAAAATATAGCAAGGGAAAACTCCCATGAGCAGTCCAATCACTAATTACCTGAACCAGTCTTGTTTTCAAATCTATCACTCCCACCTAATGTCTAAAATACCCTAGCCATTTGACGTCAACACTGCACTGACTATATAGTACTACTGTATTAAAAACTACAGTGTTTTCACTCGTTTGCTAATAATACCCTGATTCATACATCTTCATGGCCGGTAGCCAGGGGTGGGGTTCGGGAATTTCGGAGGTTCAAAGAACCCCCTCTTTTTGTCAGGAAAAGGTCCCCTCTGGGTAAAATTTTATGAAGGTACATGTAGGTTTCATGGTAAAAGGTCCACTTTTTTAATATTGCTGGTTACGGGATTGCATCTTTGTAACATTGTTGATATGGCTGTTGCATACCGTATATCACAGATATTTGCCCTTTTCAGCCCAGACACCTGGCAATACCAGCCATTATCAGTTCTACCCTATAACCTATCCACCTCTCACACAGGAAGCCAGTAGGGAATTCTTTATCCTCATAATTTTTGGAAGACGGAGTTTCTGAAACATCACCCTTTTGGCTGTGAAAAGATCTGCTCTGAATCAAAATTTGATCTAGGTCCTATTAGTCAGTATCATGGTACAAACGTCTACTT